AGGAGGAGGAGGAGGAGGAGGAGGAGGAGGAGGAGGAGTAGGAGGAGGAGGAGAGGGAGGAGGGAGGAGGGAGGATTTTTTGGGCACGACCGCCGCACTGCATGCTTAAAGCACACTGAAAGTATCTTGGAGCAGGGTCACTCCACTCTCCTTGGTGTGGAGGCCCCTGCAAATCCGATCCCAGCTATGCGGGTTATACTTCTTGTCGAGCCCCGTCTTGCTATGTCTCGGCGGGCCCGTGCAAGCACTGCCGAGCTTGGCAAGACGGCCACCTGAAGTATACCCTTTACAGGAGGTGCACACGACCAACAACGAATCATTCGAGCAGTCGAACATAACACACCTGCGCTGGAGATCTCGGTGTGCCTGCACGCAGATTCTCGGCACTCCGCGAGAACGGCCAGGAGGAGGCGTGGCATTGCAGGCACTCCTGGCCGTACGCAGGCAAACAGAGCACTGCCAAAAACGCTGTGAGCCAGCGGGCGGACCCCTCCATTCCCACAGATGGGGAGTGGGGGCCTCTCTCGGGACAGTCGCCGCTGGCGACCTCCACTCCACACCAGACAAATCCGTTCTGGGCCAGAGCGGTAGCACAGCCGCCGCCAGGCGTACCACGTACTGGGCACACTCTAGTGAACGGCCGACAGCAGAGGACAGATCGTCCGAAGGCAAGGGATGCATAGCGGCGCCGAGCTTCGCTGCACGGTCAGCCGCATCGTTGCCGACCCGCCTAAGGCGCTCGGCTTCGTCGATGTCTGGGCAATCTAGGGCCAGGTGCGCACGCACCTTCTCGCACCCAAGGAACCTTTGCCCCCCAAGAGACCGCCCCTGCAACACAAGCCCCGCGTAAGGTCGCTTGGGTGAGATACGCTGTAAGTCATGCATGCCGTGCATGCTGACCACGTTGGCACAGTCGGAGTAGAGCTGCGAAGGCGCCGAAACCGGGGCTCCAGCCATGGCGTAGGCCGCAAACTCTCCCGCCTGCGGGGTCTGTGGGCAGCTGTTACACACAGGGCCCCATGCCAAGGCGAGCAAGTTGCCGCGGGGGCCGAGCATTGCAATCCCCCACCCAGCTCTGTTCGATTCTCGCACTACCCTGCGCGTGCAAGACCCGTCAAGAAAACCCTGGCCCCACAGGTCCCGTGAACCTTCAGGGGGGGCCTCCATGTCTTCGGCCTCGAAGCCGCCAGGGAAAGATCGGAAACGGACGCCGTCGTCATCGCCCCCTTCGTCGGCCATCGGGGGGGGGGCCACCTCCGCAGGATGCTGGAATAGTCCTGAAACCACCTCGAACGGTGCGCGCCCCCCGTTCCGCTCGACGTTGTCACGAATGCTGTCCAGGAAGGGCTGAGGCACGATAGCGGCACGAGCTTCGGCGACAGCTGGGCATTCCCAGAGCCTGTGGAACAGCGTGTCCCCAGGGGCATTGCACAGCGAGCAGACGTCCCCGACGTCGTAGCCCGCCTCGCGGGCCCTAGAGAGGGGCCAGAGACCTTGGCAGGCAAGGCGCCGAATCACCCCCTTCTGCCTGGCCGAAATTTTCCTAGATCGGGTGGCCGCAATGACGACATCAACACGCAACCGGTGCACCCCGTCACTTCCGTACTTCGACGCCGCCTCCCGCTCGAGACTTCTCCACGCCCCTTCCCTGAGAAGGATTTTGAGGAGCGCAGGAGAGGTGAGGGTGAGGGAGTGGTGGGCCCCCAGGTCGCTGATCAATAAAAAAGGCGAAGGCATAGACCAGCCGATCCTCTGAAGGGACAACTTAATGGCTCCGATGGGCCCCGCCACCGAACGCCACGCCCAGGGAATCGGGAAACTCGAATTCCAAACGTCCCGAAGCTCTTTCCGGGAGAAGCAAAAATCGGTAGCCCGAGTGCGCCTGGCCCAAACCTCCTTAGACCATCGGATGATGGGAGAAACCGCCCCGAACCACGCGGGGCCCCCTTCGATCCTGGACAAAATCGTTAAACTGCGGCCGCCGACGGCCGGCTTCACCGTGGCCGCACAGAGCCTTCGAATCTTCAAAAGTTCACCATCACTGCAACCGTGCACCTCGCTGCCGCACGTGATACCTGGCAAAGGCCCAGCAACGCAAAGTTTGATCGCCCTGCGTCCTAGAACAGCTCGCTGGCGGACAAGCCGCCCGACTCGGCGCTCCGCCTTCGCCAGCCTCGCCTATGCACGTGCGTTGCGACCCCGAACACGGCGGGCGCCTCCTACTGCGTCGTCAATACCAAGGTTAGTCGCGGCATGCGAATGAGCTCCTCCAAACGGCCCCAACCGTCTCTGGATGTGACTGGAGATTCCCCTGGAAGACGAAATGGGACCCACCTTCTCATGGGGAACATTCGCATGCAAACAGCCCGAACTAACGCGATGCAGCTGACTAGCCGCGTCGGCGAGGCCCCGACAAATCATTTTAATCGATCCCGTCGCATTGAGCCCCATATCGTCGATGAAAGCGTCGAAGGTGACACTACGAGGGATAACCAACCTGTCGAAGGCCTCTAACGCAAAAGCGCGAATCAGGGTCGCGGCGAAACTGCAACCCGCGATGATGCCCACACGAGCATACATGGGGCAAGCCACGACCCCTCCTAACACAACAAACCTCGCGGACCTGTACCCCGCCAAACACACCGAGGAAATGGGGTCGGGAAAGTTGTGCTGTCTACACCTTAAAGCCAAAGCTTCCAAGGGGATCCGCTCGTAATGCTCCATGAAGTCCCACAGCAACGCGCACGCATGCTGAGACCGACTGCGAGACTTACCCGATCGAGCCGCCTGTCTCCAGACGACGTCGCTCGCCGACTTGTACTGGCCAGCCGCCCAAAAGGCACGCCGGTTGTCCGTCTCCCATTCCACAGCAAGGTGGTGACGGCACTTGCCCCAGAGGCGGTACAGGCTGGGAAACACTCCTATCGGACGGAATCCCGAGGACGGCTTTGGCAGCATCGCGATGATGACTGCTCGCAACTGAAAAGGCAAGGACCCAGTCATTTTCATCAACGTGAAAAACCGAGAGAGGGCCAGCAAGGCCCCGTCCGACAGGATCGCGAAGTGGCGCATGAAAACCGTCCAGACCCACCGCGGACCAATGGGCAAAAGTTTTGGAAATCTTGCGGGTTTCTTCAATGGAGATAAAGGGAGGGGATCGTTGATCTTCCCACCCTGCTTGACGGGTAAGTCTAAAGCTTCCCACAGGCCGCGGAATCGCTTGGCCTCGTCAGCCAACAGGGACTGCGGGTCGGACACCACGCAGCCGTTGGCGCAGAAGGTCGTGCTGGCCTTCCAGGCCTGCGGGTCCTTGGTGAACGCGTGAGCCTCCTTCCTCCTTGGCCCACCGACTCCGTAAGCCAGTCCGCCCAGTCCTTACGAGCCTGCGACGAATAAAAAGTTGAGCACTGCTCAGCGATCTCACACACCGCGCCCCCCGAATTCTCGGCGCGGACCTGGAGCGTGTCCTCCGAAAAGCTACGACCGAGGCAACCCGATGCCAGCTGAGAGACCTCGTCCAGAATTTCAGGGAGACCAGGAAAGTCAGGGGCCTCGGGGCCCGAGGCTTCAGATCCAGAGAGCTCGGCTCCAGGAAGGGGCTTGCGCAAACTCGGGGGGGGGGGGGGGCGCAAGAATACGAGCCGCAACGCGGGCCTGAGGCCAATCCGACCGCAAAGCAGCTCCCTGGAAACGCTTGAAATGACTGGCAAGCCAACGGCTCGCGTAGAGCTGGAGGTACCTGACACAACATTTGTCTTTCCCGAAGATGGGCCTCCAGTGGGCGAGGGGCCCCTTACCCCATCGACCCCCAGACAGGCAGTTCAACCCCCAAGGTCCGGGCCAGCTCCCGCCCCGCCAAGCCTGCCCAGGAGGCGTACGCCTCGCTAAACAACTTGGAAGTCATGGCAACGTCATCTCCACGCCGCGCCCTGGTAGATGCTGCGTCCAGCAGTGCCTGCGCCCGCTCGAACTGCTGAGGTGCGGGCTGAGGACCGAAAGGTGGTGCCGAAGGTAGCGAGGGCGGCTTCCTGAAAGTAAGGTAGTGCATCTTCGCCATCCCCGCATGGAAGCAAAGACGAACAGGAAGGCGAGGGAAGAAGCCCGCATCTTCGACTGGTTCGATACTCTGGACCGCCTTCGACACACCCGACGAGAGGACAAAGTAATCAAATTCCCTGCCTTCGCCAACGTGACAGGTAGGCTTGCCCGCGCAGATGGCCTGGCCCATGAGCGACGAGACGAAGCTAGACCCAGCTAGAGTCGACGGTTCCATGTTCCAGCCTCCTCCGACGATGAACGGCTTGCCACAGGTGGACCCCAAAGCCCCGACAGCCGACAGGGTTTCCAAGTTCGCTTCGGACAATCCTTCCGAGTCCCTGAGGTACACAGAGCAAAGCACAACCAAGTCGCCCTGGGGGGCGCGCGCTTCGGCCGCCAAGGCCCGATGCGGGTCCACAACAGACCCCGAACACGGCGGGTGCAGCCCCAAGGTCTGCCTACACAAAATCGCGACTCCCGCAGACGGGCCTCCTCCTGGGCCTGCAGTCGCGGGAGCCCAGAGGCTTTTGAAACCCAGGCCCAGGCAAGTGGAAGACGCACGGTCCAGGGGCTCCTGCTAAATCAATCTGTGTTCCTGGACCAAAATCACCTCAGCTCTAGCACTGGGCAGCCAATCTTTGGCCGGCCCCCGCGAATTGCCGTTCGCGGAGACGACGCTCAAACGAAACGGCTCGGCCCCGGGAGGGGGGCGGAGGGGGAAACGGGCCCTTCGGGCGACTGAAGCTGCCGGCGCGTCCGGAGGCTGGAATTTTCGAAACTGCACCGAGCGCAACGCGAGGAGGAGAAAGACACTGCGGGCGACCCCTGGACCCCGAAGGGTCGCCCCCAGATAAAAAGTTCGAGCGTGCCAGGCCATCAGAAATCAGACGAGAATGATGCCGAGTGACCCCCCCCTTAAGCAGGACTGCCGCCAGGGGGGGCCTCTTGCTGAGGAGGACCACCTCCCCGCTCCGCCCGGGCCTGGACACGATGGGCGATGGCAGCGACTTCGTCCCCGACACGCCCCGCGGCGGCAGCTGCGTCGGGCGCGCCGCCAGGCTGCGCCGCAGCTGCACCGCCCGCAGGCCCATCAAGTAGGCCGTCAGCCCCTTGGCCGTCTCCTGGCACCGAACCTCCAGGAAGATCGCCATCAGGGCCCCGCCGCCGCTTGCCCGCGATGCGCTTGAGGTACAGCTCGTGCTCCTTCTTGACCGCCCCTGCCTTCGCAACCGCGTCCTGGAAGAGCTGCTTGGCGGCGGCGGCGATGTGTCCCTTAAACTTAGCGCGGCGCTTCTCGACCTCGTCGATGTCGGCCTGCTCCAGCTCGAGCTCGCCACGGAAATCGCTGAAAAGGCCGCCGTCGTCGATGGTGATGTCCGCAACATTGCCAGCCACGAGGTCTCGCAGCGACAGCACGGGCCCAGGCGCAGGCTCCGAGTCAGCGTCGATGACGATGGGAGCCACCTCCCTGTGGAGCTTCGCCACCAACGTGCGGTGCTGCTCGATGAGCGCCTTGGACTTCTGCGACAAGTCGTGCAAGTACGTCTCCTGCTTGCGCTCGCCCTCCACCCACCGATTGTACTTGGCCAGCTCCGCTTCCATCTTGCTGTCCAGCTTCGTGATCTCACGATGGAGCTCCGAAACTTGATCCTGAAGAAGAGGCTTGGGCGCTGGCTTCGCCTTCTCGGCGAGCGCGTCGATCTTGGACTGGAACTTCTTGGCGGTCTCCTCATCCCCATCCCGCTCGGCGAGGGAGGCCAGCATCTGCAGCTCCACGACCTCCAAGGGGCCCGAGGAGGCTCCTCCACCAGCAGCTCCAGCTGGCCCATGCTCGGCAGCTCGACCCCCAGCCTGGGGACCAGGCGGGAGGGCACGCCACGTGACAGGAGCGATGGCCCCAGGAGCAGCAGGCTGACCACGTAGATGAGACCACACGCCACGAGGGCCCTGAGGGTGGACGGGTGCAGGGGTCTGCCTTTCTGCGCCGCAGTGCTTGCAGCAGGCCGAAAGCAGAGACGTCTTGCCGCACCCGCAAACTACGCACTTCCAGCGCTCGGAGGACTCGCCGCCCTTCGCACCCTTGACCCCGCCCTTGCCCACGTGGGGCTGCACCATGTGCCAGGGGGGGACAGCGCCTTGCCAAGGAGCTCCTTGGCATTTGCCGCCGCCTCCTCCCGTGACGCCATGGCGCCACATG